TTAAGTTAAATGTTTACTAGGGGTTATTAAAAAGCCCTATTTTAGGAAACTTGTTTACTTGTTACGTGTTTAGAAACATACTTTTACTTATGGTAATTTTTTATTTTTTTTTGAAATAGTTAAAAAAATATCTACGACAGTTGAATTTTTTTTTCAAGTAATTTACTTGGCACTTTTTTTGTGTAAAAAACCAATAAGGATGAAAAAATAATGTTAAAAAAGTAACTAAACAAGTAAAAAGTAACAATCAAACAAAAGTTACTAGGTACAAAGATGGTAGAAGAAGATATTTAGTGATCTAACACGGCGAAGTTAAACAGCTAGGAAATTTAAAAAAAAATATGTATAATTTAGACACTTTTGTTTTGTGTTTGCTTTTAATGATGAAATGTAAAACAAAATATGACAATTTTAGTGGTAAAAAACGGGAGAGATGTGAGGGATACAAGGGAAGAGAAATGAAAATATACGGATTTTTAGGCTGATTCTGTTCGTTCAAGCATAAGTAAATCAAGTCTCCTACCTTTTTGAAAGCTTTGCATAAGTTTAACATTTCCAGGTTTTCGGGATAGGAAAAAGCGTGTTTATTAGGAATAATATAGTTATCAAGTTCTAAAGTTAATATTCTTGTCAATATGTTTTAAGTAAAAAAACATTGATAAATACCAGTATGTATAATGATTAATAATGTTCCAAAGATATACCCATCACAGGTTTGAAGGAATTTGATAAGCCAATAACCATTCAATAAAATATATTGCTTTTTACTTTCCTATCTGTATACAGATATAAGGAAAGTATAGGAATCATGATTTTTTTCGACCTCGAGTTTTCGACGGATTTTTACGTTTTGAGGTCCCTTGAATCCGTTTTGAATATTTTCGCGATGATGTGTGTGTGTGTGTGTGTGTGTGTGTGTGTGTGTGTGTGTGTGTGTGTGTGTGTGTGTGTGTGTGTGTGTGTGTGAGTGTGGGTGCGTGCGTGCGTGCGTGCGTGTGTGCGTGCGTGCGTGCGTGCGTGCGTGCGTGTGTGTGTGTGTGTGTGTGTGTGTGTGTGTGTGTGTGTGTGTGTGTGTGTGTGTGTGTGTGTGTGTGTGTGTGTGTGTGTGTGTGTGTGTGTGTGTGTGTGTGTGTGTGTGTGTGTGTGTGTGTGTGTGTGTGTGTGTGTGTGTGTGTGTGTGTGTGTGTGTGTGTGTGTGTGTGTGTGTGTGTGTGTGTGTGTGTGTGTGTGTGTGTATGTGTGTGTGTGTGTGTGTGTGTGTGTGTGTGTGTGTGTGTGTGTGTGTGTGTGTGTGTGTATCTGTCGCATAACTCATAAACCAATACACGGAAAAACACCAAATTTTAAACTTAAGCTTTGTTCCAGCGTCCAATGAGCTGATTAGATTTTGGGCAGAGTCTGAAGATCTGGTGGGGTACTTTATAGGTAATCATTTTTATATTTTATTTAATATATCTGTTATTTGCGTTTGGGGAAGAAAATGTTTTAAATAAAAGTTACTTCTTATAATATTATCTATAATTTTTGTTCTATACAAAATTTTCCTAAAATGGTCCGTATTCGATAAATTTGACAAAATGTAAAAAAATATTTTTTTATAAAAATTGTTTAAACAAAAGTTTTTGTAATATAATTTTCTATAATTTTTATTCTATACATAATTTCTGTAAAATGGATTCGAGGTATTTGAGAAAATGTGTAAATTTCGAAATTTGAAGAAAACTCAAAAACGGATAAAGAAAAAACATTAAATTTTAAACTTAAGTTTTATTTCGGCCTGACGTGAAATGATTAGATTTTGGACACACAAAGTCGGAACATCTGGGGGGGTACTTTATCAGAGGCCGTTTTTATATTTTATGGAATATATCTGTTATTTATGTTTGGAGAAAAAAATTGTTTAAACAAAAGTTACTTCTAATATTATTATCTATAATTTCTGCTTTATGTAAAAATTTCCTGAAATGGTCCGTATTCGAGAAATTTGACAAAATGTGCAAAATTCTGATTTTTTTATTCCATACATAATTTCTCTAAAATGGACCGTATTCGAGATATTTGGGAAAATGTGTAAATTTCGAATTTTGAAGAAAACTCAAAAACGGATAAAGAAAAAAACATTAAATTTTAATCTTAAGGTTTATTTCGGCATTACGTGAAATGATTGGATTTTGGACAAAGTCGGAACATCTGGGGGGGGGGTACTTTATGGGAGGCCGTTTTTATATTTTATGGAATATATCTGTTATTTATGTTTGGAGAAGAAAATTGTTCAAATAAAAGTTACTTCTAATATTATTATCTATAATTGTTGCTTTATGTCAAAATTTCCTGAAATGGTCCGAATTCGAGAAATTTTAAAATGTGCAAAATTCTGATTTTTATGAAAATTGTTGAACCAAAAGTTGTTTGCGATATCGATCTCTATAATTTTTGTTTATACATGATTTTTCTAAAATGGACCGTAATGGAAAAGTGTTAAATTTAAATTTTTCAGTATTTTCGTTTTCAATGAATATCTATAGAAAAATGTTTCGAGGTAGATGTATGTGGCCAATGTATATATTTAGTATATCCTCTAAACATTTATAGAGATGCTGCAATAGATTGTACAAAATAACCGGAAAAAGCCTATAATAACTAGACAGGAAAGTCATGTGTTGGACTCATCAGATTTTTGTTTTAGAACTTAGAAATTATTGATAGAAATTAATTTAATTTATTAAGTAAGAATCAATGTAGCTTTTATGATATTAAAAAAGAGATCACTTATAGATAATTATAGACCTGTACCGACCCTGATTTTATTTTTCCATCTTTCTTCCTCTATGCCCTTTTGTTCTGGCCTCTTACGCAAAGAGAGTCGTTTCTCCTTTTTTAATTATTAAAATATCCGGCCAATAACGAGTGAAAAAGTTAATTTGCTAATTAACTTTTCAATAAGGCATTTACTACCACAATTAACTTTTTTCTCTCGGTCTTTTCTGAGTATTTTGGCCTTTTTCTTTTGTGGTCTTTGGATAATTTGTAATAAGATCCGGACAATGGACATCTTAATTAATTGTTTGTAGATTTAATAAGAAAATCCAGCAAGAAGGTTAATTATTTTTTTGTTTGTTTTTGAATAACCTGAAAGAGTTGCTTTATACAAAAAAAAGTATTTATTGCAAATTATGACGTGAGATATTACAGGGAAGTAATCGTTTAATTTATTTACAAATAATTCTGTAAAATCAAATTCGAAAAACTACTAGAATTTTGTTTAAAAAAACCGAATAAAAAGCATTCACGGTGTTTTTCATGTATCTACTAAAATATTATGGAAAAGTATGGGCGAATCTTGTTACAAGAATCGTGTATGGTTATAATTCGAAATTAACTTATCATAAGGCTCCAAACGCATTAATAGCTGTAAAATTTACATTAAAGAAGTATATTTGATTTACAGGAAATTACACTATTTGTTTACAGTGTGACGACGATTTAAAGCAGAAATAATAGTAGTACGATCTGGTTCATTTATAAAACACGTGCTCACACCTCAGATAAACAAACTCGCACAAACCATATTTACTCAATTTAGCAGTCATTTCGCTAATTTTAATGCGACAGCCGATGCTACAGTTCTATCTAACTAATATAAAACATTGTCAGAATGCTTGCAGTAATTAAGGGCTTAATTATGAATGGAATAGTCTAGTAGTTTTTCGTCGTTAGGTAAAACACAAAAATAAATTTTTATATTCAACTTAATTTTTCCAACAGCTACTATTTATACTAACAAACCTAATTCATTTGTGAGTTATGACTCTTAACTCTCTAATCTAGTATTCGCTTGACTTTCTAAGCGTGAGGAGGTCTGCACAGTGAATGGTGTATAGTAGCAAAGTTCAAAAGATTACACCACAACCGGTATGTCTTTATTAAAAATAAAAATTCGAAAAAGAGACAAAAAGTAGCGATAATTAAAATGTACCCACAGACGACACCTACATCATTTAATAGCACAGTGGACCAAGCCCACAATATGTACGGACAAAATATAATGCATCGACAACAAACAGTGCAACATAAATTTTCACTACAACAATTTCAGCATCAACAATATCCACAGCAACAATTTCCACTACAGAAATTTCCACAACAACATTTTTCACAGCAATTTACACAACAGCAATTTCCACATCAACAATTCATGCAGCAACAAATCATAAATCCAGCTTCACAATATCCAACCAATCAGTTAAATTATAACACAAATATGACAAATATGACCAGCTTAATCAATACCGAATATGCCTAGCTCTATCAGCCAGATATCTAGATATCAGCTATAACAAATCGATCCATAACAAAAAACAATACCGAAAATCTCTCTAGAGAAGAACCCGAAAAGGACTCTGTAATAACTACCAAATTCAATTGGAAAGTACTTAAAAAAAAAAGAGCATATTTGTCTCCAGAGGTAAACAAAATAAACACCCCATTTACATGTGATACCCAGAATAGATATGAGCAATTCTCAGACATGTCAGAAGATAATGATGACACACAAAGCACCAAAACTGATGATGCCTCTACAAATAAAACATAGAAACAACCAAAAGAACCAAAAGAGCCCCATCCTCCACCAATATATATCTATGGAGTAACAAATTACAAAGAAATTGTAGAATATTTAGCAAAAACACTAGAAGAAGAACAATACCATTGTAAAAGTCTTTCAAATAACACAATTAAAATTAATGTAAGCACTCCAGATACCTATAGAAAATTAATTAAACAGCTACAAGACCATAAAGTGGTATATCAAGTCAAGCAGGATAAAGCATATAGAGTAGTAATTAGAAACATACACTATTCAATTCCAACAGGAGACATTTCAGAGGCATTAAAAAAAGAAGGACACACAGTACGAAATATTTTAAATGTTAAACATCGTAAAACAAAGGAACATCTTCCCTTGTTCTTCATAGATCTAGAACCTAAAGAAAATAATAAAAATATCTTTGATGTTAAGGTACCTGTGTAATATGAAAATTAACGTTGAAACTCCAGGAAAGAAAACTAGCATCGTTCAATGTACTAGATGTCAGTCCTATGAACATACGGAAACCTATTGTGCTAGACCATATGCATGCGTTAAATGCAGAGGAGATCATAAATACAATCATTTGTAAGAATCCTGCTAATACACCAGCCAAATGCGCACTTTGCGAAGGAAGTCACCCGGCAAACTACAAAGGATGCGAAGTATACAAAAACCTTCAACAAGCTAGAGGAAAGCCAACAAATATGCCACGTTATAACACTAGGCAATCAAACATCAATATAAATGACACCAACCAATTCCCTTCAATCAATACCAATCAACCTCAAAACCAAATGCACTCAGCTCCACAAAACTAATATTCTCAAATTCTTACACAAAACCAACAACCCATTAACATAATCGAGCAACTAACCACTTTCTTAAATTAATTTAAGGCAATGTTTAACCAGCTTATAAACCAGAATAGCATGGTATTAAATATGCTTAGCACTGTCATCACCAAAATTGCTTAATAATGGATATTCTGCGAATTGTTCTCTGGAACGCAAATGGGCTTAGCAACCATAAACTTGAACTCATCAATTTTCTTCAGATGCACAAAATCGATATTGCTCTAATATCAGAAACCCACTTTACAACCATAACATATTTTAAAATACCATACTATAATGTTTACTACGTATGTTACCCAGATGATAGAGCACAAGGAGATGCAGCCGTGCTAATACGCAATACAATCTCCCATCACGAACTCAACCATCACCAAAGTGATAAAATTCAAGCTGCAAGCGTTAGAGTAGACGCTAATCCATGGCCTCTAACAATATCAGCCATCTATTGTCCTCCTCGACATGCCATATCGATTGAAGAGTATGTAGAATTTTTTAAATCTCAAGGATCTAAGTTCTTGATAGGCGGAGACTGGAATGCTAAACTAAACATTTACAATGGGGAACAAGACTAGTACCACCAAAAGGAAGAGATCTACTTCCAGGCAATTAACAGAGTAAATTATGACTACATTTCTACTGGCACCCCAACATATTGGCCATCCGACCCTAATAAATTACCAGACTTGTTAGATTTCTTTATTCACAAGGGTGTAACAGCAAATTATATTCAGGAAAACCGTTGAATGAAGTCAGTTCTTATCGTCCTATTAGCCTATTACCAATAACATCCAAATTATTTGAAAAATTGATATTAAACAGAGTCGTTAACGATGTAAAATTATTCACACTAATCCCTGACTATCAATTTGGGTTTAGGGAATACCACTCGACCGTCCAGCAAACGCATACAATAATTAACCAAATTACCAAAAGTCTCGAAGAAAAAACATTTTGTACCGCCGCATTTCTAGACATTGCTCAAGCATTCGATAAGGTGTGGCATAGTGGCTTATTGCACAAAATCAAAAACTCCCTTCCAAGTCCCTATTACTTGCTACTAAAATCATATCTTACCGAAAGGTACTTCCAAACAAAGCATAATTCTGCACTTTCAAGTTGTCGCCTAATAAAGTCTGGAGTACCACAAGAGAGTATTCTTGGGCCTATATTATTCTTAATATATACCGCGGACTTACTTACTACAAACAATACTAAAATAGCAATATTCGCAGATGATACAGCCCTTCTATCAACACACATTAATCCAGTTATTGCATCGCAACAACTTCAATATCATCTAGATGTATTAAAAGTACGGTTTGAGAAATGGAAAATTAAAATTAATCAAACCAAATCCGCATAAGTGACTTTCACAAACAAGCGATCAGTATGTCCTCCTATTACTTTTAACAACATTCAAATCCCCATTCAGGACGAAGTAAAATATCTAGGTTTACACTTGGATCAGAAGCTAACTTGGAAAAGCACATTCAAACAAAGAGGCAACAACTAAATTTAAAAGTAAGAGAAATGTCCTGGCTCCTAGGACGTAAATCCAAACTACTATATAAATGTATCTTGAAGCCGATTTGGACGTATGGAGTACAATTATGGGGATGTACCAAACCATCCAATACAAAAATATTTCAAAAGCTACAGTCTAAAGTATTGAGATCAATAACCAATGCACCATGGTACGTGAGCAACTTCACATTGCACAATGACCTACAAGTCCCTTTCGTCACAGAGGAAATAAAGAGACTTTCAAGACTATATCACAATAGACTACAAGACAACGAAAATATATACATAGCGCAGTTAAACATTCGTCCAAACGTCACAAGAAGATTACAACGACAATGGCCCACAAACCTGATCCAGTAGATACATGACGAGGATTATTCTCCAGCCAACAACCCTAGCCATGGTATCGATAAGAGGTTCGTCACTGGACGATTTCTCTTTTCAAGTCACCTTCATATAATACATTTAATTATTGCTCCAATGAGAGTAGATTGTAAATATGCAGTTGTCAAATAAAAAAAAAACTCTCTAATTTAACATTTATAAATTTTATAATTAATTTTGTAACTGTCCACCCCATACCTCTGTTGATCATTGTTTATTTTTTGAAATTTTATTATTTTCCTCTCCTCTAGTGGTAGTAATAGTAGTGATGGTCTAGTTAATTAATTGATAATTTATATACCCACGTTGTGATAATATTAATTAGGATAAACCAGGATTCGATGCAAATTTTGGTGCAAATTGGTAAATAAAATACAATTTTATTTTTCATACTTCAAATTTAATACTCAAACGCGGATCAAGATATGTTTAATTTAGCTTGATGGCCAACGGAGTTAACAAACAGCCTAAATTCGCCAGTTGGTTAACTTACTGTGTTGATGTTAATATTTTTATTTAGCTTGACTTTATCCCAGATATACATAGGAATGTACCCTCTTAGGTAATTATTTCGACGAATATAGAGGTGATGACTAACGGAGTTAAAGGGCAGCGCCAATTCGTCAGTTAATTAACTTACTGTGCTGATTTTCACATATACTTTATGGTTCAGAACTATTAGAATGGCTGGCTAAGTATATCTGTCCCCTTGAGCTAATAAATAGTCTCAATTCACCAGTTGATTAACTCTAGGTTTGTTTGCATAATTTATGCAAGATAATACAACCCTGTTTACTTCTAAAATATTGATTTTTATAACTTCTATTGAAATGACTCAAATTCGCCCATTAAAAAACATATGTCTAACTTAAATGTCTTTCGGGGAGAATACCCGAAGGCCATGAGTTTTATGCAGTTACATTGATAATATTTTAAAGAAAATGTCAGGGCCTCGTTAAAAAAAACCCTGGTGATATTTCAAAGAAAGTTAAATAAACCTTTTTAACTCACCTTTGAAAATACAGACATTAGGTCTGTCTAAACTAGACAATACGTACTAATTTTATCTTACGTTGTAACGACGTTAATTTAGATATGTCGCAGCTTTGAGCGTCGCCTTGCGTCGAGACGCCTAGCATCGTGGAGCAGAGTGGGGTATTTATTTCGGTACTGCATCGAGACAGATATAGGACAGGAAATACTTAGCTGGTGCTGCGCGACGAAGAGTGTCGTCAAGTATATTATGATGGTGGGACCTTGATAGTCGGGACGTGACGCGTTCGAGCGTCAAAATAGGTATAAGGTAGCAAATACTTAGGTGGTGCGAGAAGTGACATAGAAAGGTATGGTAGTAAGGCGGCGGGACGTTAAGCGTCGGAACGTCGAGGGTCGGAACGTTGGGCGTCGGGACGTTGATAGTGTTCGGGGAATAGAAGGTATTGTAGGATCGTCGTCGGTTAATAAGAGCGTCTATTTAGAAAAGGTACTAAATACTGAACTTGCAATATAGCTGGATACAAAATAATGAATGAATATAAAATCATAATAAATGCTCGGGTTCGGGTTTTTAAACCCGTGTTAATGGCTTTTAGTGATGTCAATTTTTCGAAGCACCGGTGGGAACAAATTTGGGTGAATAAAAAGGGGTGGTAGATTTATTGTGTCCTGAGACATTCTTAAAATTTTGTTTCGAAATCTTGTCGAAATTAGTCTTTATACTCGAAACCAGAAAGATACTCGTGTTTTAACGATTATTGCTCCATGAAAAGAAATATGTTTATAGAGATTTTTGGATTGAATTCTCATGGGATAACTTTTATCTTTTCTGTAATATTAGGATAGATAGAATTTCTTTATCTAAAGATTTTACGTAAAATGAAGGAATTTCAATTTAATAAAAATGCACCTTTCCTTTAATAAATTATGAAGGTACCTGGGTGAGGCAGGTTGGGATATTGGAAGCTTTAAATAATGTCCATACAAGACCTTTAATTAATACACTATCCACGAAAGGTTTGCCAGTAGTATACCGGTCCTATCTTATTGTCTTTGGTTCTCCTCTGTTTAGAAATAAACCTGTATTGAATAGACTAATTCAAGACTAGAATTCTTTATTTTGTTCGAAACTTAAACTTAAGCCTGATTTTATCACTGTTCCTCCAATAGAATTTTTTTCTTTAGCGAAAAACATGTTTATTGCAATCCATATTCAAAAAAGGGACTTTTATTTTTAATTTTGAACCTTGCTCTTTGTTGGGTATGTCAATTTTATCTGAGAAAATACGGTTTCTTCTTGCATCGAGTTTCTTACTAATCCCAAGCGAAAAAGACATTCATTTCGATTTACTATCAGAATGTCACAGGACTTTGGAGTTATTTTCCAATCAATATAAAATTTTCCGACGTGATAGGTTATACAATCAGCTTAACTGTGAAAGTAGCGGTGGAGTATTTATTGCAGTTCTATTAACTATACTGTGGCAGGTTTTTAGCTCCATCTACTGTATAGTAGGAAGTCTGTGTGGCGCTGAGGTGGTGCTGGTGCTCTGGCACCAGTTTTTCTAACATAGTTTGCTCTGCAAACCCGTAGTACACCAAAGTGTACTCAAAATAAACTCAGTGGAGTTAAAAATACCTTCAATTGGTCATTGCTAACAGGGTAGCCACTAAATTAAAATAAAAGACACTACTCTCGTCTAAAGCTGCAAAGTATGACTATTTGCTCTTAATACACAAATAGCTATATCAGAGTAAAAAATGCACTTAAAAATAATATACCTGTCAGCCCAACTGTTGTATAAATAATTGTACAATATTTTTCAGCTCTTGTAAATAATGTCCCCGTTATTTTCCTTATTGATAATGTTGGATGTCTCTTTGAAAACAAATTATTCCAGGCTCTGCCTACTAATTCAGATGTTGAAAACGGATAATTAATTTATTTACTTGTATCCAAGTTATAATCCATGCTCCTCCAATCTATTATTGTATAAAAGTATAGAAGCTTCTCTAGCTCTGATTCCAAAACACATTTTCTTCCAAGCTTGATAACTGTG